ATGGACGCACGGACGGTCACACAGACGGACGCATGAAGGCGCCCTAATGGGGAATATATGATGAGAAGATGCGAGATGGTGGTACTTGGAGTGTTGAATTGATGGACAAACGGACACACAGACAGATGCATGGATGGACGCATGAACGGACGCAGGGGCGGATGCATGAACGAACGCAGGGACGGGCGCACGAACCGATGCATGGACGGTCACACAGACGGACGCATGGACGGACGAATGCTTCGCCCCACTCTCCATCATTCACTCCGTGGATATGCTGCCTTTTTTTTTCGCAGTCCTATTAGCGCCATGTTCTTGTTCTTTCGTTTAATATAAATGGTTCGGGATGTCTTTGTTGTACCGTGGAGGCAATGTACGTGTGGTTTGTCGTCATTGCGAATCATATAAACTCTTCGATTGATCTTTTGTCAATGCTTAGTCGAAGCTACATAGCTTGCCTATATTTCTGGCGTACTGAGCAACGCTGAAACAAAGGCATGGAAATACGCCGTATACGGTGTTTCGTGTTCATTCCATCACGCAGATAAAGAATTATAATTTAAATGAATGACAGATTGGCTGATGTATCACAAGTGCTTGTACCCGTTCTTTGCCGTATAGTCCGCTTCAAACTGTCACACTTAAACCTAAAAGTTACTAAAATGGAGCTACCTTTGAAAGCTTACGCTTCAAAAAGTTTCACGCGTCCAAAGAATTCGTCTTGCTCTCAGCATCACTGCCCATCATAACGAGTATTCTGAATCACTGCGCTTTAACATGACACTGCTGTAGCTTCATATCGTGAACAACAATGTATAAGTCTTGGGGACATATTTACAGGCCGAGAGCATCCTTTCCTATACGTTACCTCAAATAAGTCTAATAAATGTTTTTTTCACGCCCTACACACCGCAATAACACAGATTACTACAATTATACAGTTTTAAAGACAACGTAAACAGATTAATATGCAAGTTGGGAGAAAAATGGAGGCTTGAAGTGACGAGTAATGAGTGTGTTTTTCTCTCTTCGTCCGCGTCGTATTTGCGCCTTAAATTTCAAGTGAGCAGTGAAAGGGTCAATGAATCCAGAAATCAAGGCGGGGCAGGCTTGTTGAACGGTGGTGGTGACGAAGACTTTAAGCAAGCCAAAAGAGCAGGGAATCGAACAAATAGATTGGCTACAGAATTACGGCTTTCTTGTCAGTTTTAACAGCGGAGCTACTTAAGTTTGCAAAAACTCCGTTGTCATCCATAACAATAGTTGTTTGAGCAAGGAGGAGCGATGTTAGCAGAAGGGGAGCCCATACGTGCAAAGCAAGGAAAGGAGGAGGAAAGACGCGATGAGAAAGACAGCAGAGGAAAGTAAATTCCTTAGTTTGCGAACGCGGCAATGACAGGCAAACAACTATAGTTGGAAACCAGCTGGAAACGCATGAGCCGTGTCTTGCATGAGCCGTGCATGTGAGAAGCACAACGTGCGGTGAACGCTGGCGTTGCGGCCAATCACGTCGGTTGCTGTATAGTCACGGCACGTAAAATCGTCTTTTGTCTTGAAGTTGCGTCGTACCCGCTATAGATAGCTGCTGGCAATAGCTGTCGCCAGACACGCGCGCAGAGCATATACCGTAAACCGCATTCACGGCTGTGTGAAGCAGCTGTTCAGGGAAGTCATGAACAACACGCTGATAAACGTGAGTGCACGGCCGCACTCGGGGCATGCATCTCCGCTCCATCTCGACATGGCCCGACCTAAGCCCTAAAGCCTAGCCTTATATACCTTCATACCCGGCATTACCCTGAAGCCTCGCATTGTCTTCAAAGCCTATAATCGCCAAGAAAAGCCAAGGTAACACTCATCAAGGCTGAATAACACTTGCTCAAAAGGACACCCAGTTCCAGTGTTTTTTATGCCTTACATGGTGCCGCCAGTGACCAGCTGGCCGCGTTTTAGGGGCAAAGCTCCTTATAGCGGCACCCGTTCGTCCCTCGTAGCTATTGTAGTATGTAACACGTATAACCTTTTGACCTACAAGGTGGTGCCGGTGAGAGATTTCTTCAGTGCGTTGTTGAAAAATAAAAAATACAGCTTAATTGACATGCCAGTGGCTGCTAATGGGAAATGAGAGACAGGAGTATTCAGCTTTTAGTTAACGCGCACGCTGCGATCCACATTAGCAGCCATCGCATGTGCATTGAGCACATGCCGTTAGAAAGTAAAACCCGAATTCTCCTGTCTCTCATTTCCCATTAGCAGTCATTGGCATGACCCGCAGGTCGCGGGTTCGAATCCCGGCTGTGGCGGCTGCATTTCCGATGGAGGCGGAGATGTTGTAGGCCCGTGTGCTCAGATTTGGGTGCACGTTAAAGAGCCCCAGGTGGTCGAAATTTCCGGAGCCCTCCACTACGGCGTCTCTCATAATCATAGAGTGGTTTTGGGACGTTAAACCCCACATATCAATCAATCATTGGCATGAACAATGAGCACTATCTGACAGGAAAAGGTTGCTACGTTATACTCACTGGGCGTAACCTGCTTGGTTTTAGAAAGGTTTAGCGAGCGTTGGGCCGCAGTGCCACGAATACAGTGAACTAGTATATACCACGAACTCGAGGAGGTTAAAGGTGGGAAGTAGACCCGAAGCGCAAGCCGTAAGAAAGTAAAAACCGAATTCTCCTGTCTCTCATTTCCCACTAGCAGCCATTGGCATGTACATTGAGCACTATCTGACAGGAAAAGGTTGTTACGTTATACTCACTGGGCGTGGTGGTGGTGGTGGTGGTGGTGAAACATTTAATAACCATTAAATGGTTACTGAGAGGTGATTGGGTTGGGGCCTTATTGGCCTCCTACCCTCACAGCACTAGGTGGAACCCCTATTCCGGGGCTCCATTGGCAAGCAACGCCGCCCGCGCCCGTTGAACCAGAGCCTCTTGGCCCTTCAGGTCTTGACAGCCGAGCAGGGCCGCCTCCCAGTCCTCTCTCGTGGGATTGGGGTTGGGGTGGATAAATGGATTAGTCCTTGGAATGTCCGCTGGATGGCGGTGCTTCTATATGGGGAATATATGATGAAAAGATGCGAGATAGTGGTACTTGGAGAGTTGAACAGATGGACGAACGGACACACAGACAGATGCATGGATGGACGCGTGAACGGACGCAGGGCGCATGCATGGACGAACGCAGGGACGGACGCACGAACAGACGCACGCACGGACGGGCGGATGGACGCATGGACGGTCACACAGACGGACGCAGGGACGGACGGAAGCAAGAACGAATGGACGGACGAATGTTTCGCCCCACTCTCCATCATTCACTCCGTGGATATGCTGCCATTTTTTTTTTTCATTTCTCTGGCAACTTCTTGGCCACGCAGTGGAAGTTCGATGTCTTCGCTGTAGACACGCCTTGCTTATAGCGTGCAAGAACAAATCGGGCAGATGTATAGACTTTCGATTTCCTCAAGCATAGCTCCAATTGCCTTTATTCGCAGTACCCGATTCATAAGCATACTCTCAAGACGCACTCGTCACCCAGTTCGCCACGAACGCTCCCATATGTTGGTGCGTCTTGAGAATCCCAACGACGCTTTTATAGCTTTGTACATGGCGGATCTGCATGTCCTCTTCTGTTAACGCGCCCTCATATATGAGTGTCCTATAGGGCTGTTCGAAAGGCAAGCCTCTGATGTTGATGAGATGGGTAGTTACGAAGGTTTCCATTTAATCATTTTAATCTTTTTTTCTAAGCCACAAGGATTGCAGGTGGCAGTTCAAGCCATTCAATTATAAAGTTCCTTGGTAAAATACTTTTACGGACCTTATTTCAATTGGGGTGAACGAATATGGGCGTCCGACCGCTATAACGTCATGCCATGTTCGTTGATATTAACTCGCACAATCTTATATGCATTCACTTGAGCCGAAAGCTCTTTCTTGTAGCACTATGCATTCAACATTCATTATTCCCGAACTTGGTTTTGCATAGCCCTTACCCCTTGCCCAGCGCAGGGAAGCAAACCATTTCTTTTTATTCAGGTTAACTCGCTGCCTTTCACTCAACATATATCTCTCTCTCTCTGTGTGTGTGTGTGTGTGTGTGTGTGTGTGTGTGTGTGTGTGTGTGTGTGTGTGTGTGTGTGTGTGTGCGCGCGCGAGTGTGTGTGTGCGTGTGCGTGTGTGTGCGTGTGTGTGTGCGAGTGTGTGTGTGCGTGTGTGTGTGTGTGTGTGTGTGTGCGTGTGTGTGTGCGTGCGCGAGTGTGTGTGTGCGTGTGCGTGTGTGTGCGTGTGTGTGTGCGAGTGTGTGTGTGCGTGTGTGTGTGTGCGTGTGTGTGTGTGTGTGTGCGTGTGTGTGCGCGTGCGTGCGTGCGTGCGTGCGTGTGTGTGTGGGTTGTGTGTGTGTGTGCGCGTGCGTGCGTGCGTGCGCGCGCAATACATTTATACCATCGGAGGCATTTTAAAGCTTTCTGCACTTCACCTTGTTTTGCACTGTCTCCGAGACCTACCCTCCTTCGACCAAACAATCTGTCACATGACCCGCCACGGTAGCCTAATAGTTATAGTGCTGACCCGCTCGTCGCGGCATCGAATCCCGGCCATGGCGGCCGCATTTTCGGCTGAGACCAAAATGCTTGAGGCTTATGTACTTAGAATTAGGTGCACGTTAAAGAACCACAGGTGATCGAAATTTTCGTATTCCTCCACTACGGCTTCTGTCATAATCACATCTTGATTATGAGACGTTAAACCCCAGCAGTTATATTTATCAAGTAATGTGCCACGGGACGCCACGTTACGTGACGTTATGACGTGTACTTAAATTTTGGTTATTTGTGACATCATAAATTGGCGTCATCACGTACGTGTTGATTCTTGCATAACTCGAGTTGACTCCATTGACGCGGGACGCCGGTCCTTTTTTTTTTGGCGTTTGATTAGGCATGTTAAGACTTTCGCCTTACAAAAAACTTGCTAACGAATGACGCCGGACGTTCGCAGGCGGAGGCGCCGGGCCGGCCTCGGCGGACGGCTTCTGCTACGAGTACGGCGCTAGCGGCGGCGCTCCCATCGGCGGCGGCCCGCTGCCGTGCTCGGCGGGTGTACCGGGCTTCGCGGGTCCGTACAAGGTGCAGCGCCGGGCGGCCAACATCCGGGAGCGGAAGCGCATGATGAGCATCAACACGGCGTTCGAGGAGCTGCGCTGCCACGTGCCCACGTTCCCGTTCGAGAAGCGCCTGTCCAAGATCGACACGCTGCGGCTGGCCATCGCGTACATCGCGCTGCTGCGCGAGGTGCTCGTCTCCCAGTACGACCCCCTGACGCACATCGAGAAGTGCCTCCGGGGAGAGCTCAAGGGCGAGCACGCCGCCGAGTGGAACACCTCCGGTGAGAGCACCCGCACATGTCTCACTCTCTATATATATATCTCAGGATTTCATGTGCTAACCCTTATCAAGGAAATACCGATGAATTATGGTACCCAAATATGGTACCCTATTTAACCCGCGCCTAACATGGTACGTGATTGTTTTGGGGACCCATCCTTGTTTCAATACGGCTACAACGGCTGATGGGATTGAATTGGGGACGGAAGCCAGAGTTTTCTTGAAGAGTTTCCACTGGTCCTGTATCTGATTTCTCACAACCGTTTGTGTACATCCTGTGTTTTGGGACGTTAAACCGCACATATCAGATAATCATCCTATGTACATTATACTGCCCGTGCGTCGTACTTTCTCACACTTCGTTCTCTTTTCATCCCTTATGTCCTTCTCCACGTCAGCGTACATAGCCCACCGCTTTTTTGTTTTGGTGACTTTTATGCTATTCCTTACATCTTTCTCCTCCAGTCAAGAGGTTACCATGTATTATAACCGTGACTACTATATATGTATCCCTATGCCTCCCTGGAGCTTATATATGTCTCAACTACTACACTTTTACTCACTCATATGTAGCATATACTTTAGTTTATTGCTTGTACTTCACTAAAATTTTTGTATTATAAGCACCGTTCTCGTATTCGATAATTTGTTTTATTACGCCCCACCGCGGTGTTCTAGTGGCTAAGGTACTCGGCTGCTGACCCGCAGGTCGCGGGTTCGAATCCCGGCTGCGGCGGCTGCATTTTCGATGGAGGCGGAAATGTTGTAGGCCCGTGTGCTCAGATTTAGGTGCACGTTAAAGAACCCCAGGTGGTCGAAATCTCCGGAGCCCTCCTCTACGGCGTCTCTCATAATCAAATGATGGTTTTGGGACGTTAAACCCCACATATCAATCAAATCAATTTGTTTTATTACCTTCCTGTATTATGATCTCTGCTATTGCTATGTCGACTTATTGCATTTATTAATTACAATATTGCGAAGTTGCTGTTGAGAGGTTCGATCCTTTTGGCCGCTGTGCAACTCCGGGACCTCCTTCTTTGATAACGATGAATAAACATTAAAATAAAGATAACGCGTTCCGTACAAGAATTGCCAAAGCGGCTGTTTGAATAATTTCTACCTTATGATATTTTCAGGTTTCAATAGTTATTCTTAGTGAAACTTTGAGTGGTCAGATATGCCGGCAGCTGCCTTCCGCATATACATTATGCGTGAAAGAAACATTTGCGAGTGAACCGCACCACTTTGCGTTATCCGCTTGTGTGCACCCACCGCAGTGGTCTACTTTTTACGGCGCTCCATCACTGAACCCAAGAGACCGCGCATTTTATTCTCAGCTGCAGCATCTGAGGGCAATGGGCGTAGATTCATGTGCACGTTAAAGAACCCTAGGTGTTCGAAATTTCCGGAGCCCTCCCAACTAAGGATTCTTTCAACATCGTATCGTGGTTCTGGCGAGTAAAACCCCAACAGTCGTTCTTATTACACACGTCCGTGTGTGCAGATCTGACAGCGCGCCTGTCCTGGATCAACTGGGAGAACCTGGGCGTCAACCCGAACCGGAGGAGCGTTCTCACCACGCTCACCCTGACCGCAGACACCATCGGCTGCCACAACGGAACCCAGTGATGATCGTGCCATCTTGCGGTTTAGCCGCCGTGTGTCCGCGCCTCGCTGACTGCTGACCCTCCTCCCCCTTCTTTCTCTTTCTCTCTCGTGGACCACCGTCCCGACACCTCTTAGCACCCAATCTCGTGTTCGGTGACAGTGGACCTGCGCTCCGAGATCCGAAGACTGCAGTAGTGGCCGCCGCCCCAGTTGAGAACTGTGTCCTCTTACGGTGACGATTCAGTGCGCGCGTTGAAAGAGTATCGGTTTCTTTCGTGCTCGATAGGCGTGGTAAGCATCCTTTCTCGGAGCATCAACTTTTGCCAATGTCGATGGTACAGTGTAGACACGGTGCAGACACGTGTAGCGCAAGCTTTGGATAAGATGACGGTCAACGAGAGGGATTCCCTGTGGTGTCGGAGTTGGGACTATGCCGTTTTGGACAAGTAAGACTCTTGTCCGGAAAGTGAGAAGGCCAAAGTCATCCGTTTGTTGACTGTTGTAAGGAGAGTGCCGGTATCAAGAAACAGCGAATCACTCCTCAATGTATTGACGAGTTTCCAAAGGCGGGTTTGGTCAGACTGGTTAGTTCACCCAAGCAGTCAATGTAGACTCCCTGTCAGAAGCGCTGTTGCGATTGGTTCATGGGGAAGAATCTCTTTATTTCTAGGTTTACGGCTTATACCTTCACTGAACGAGTGAAAAGACTCAATTGCTAACCGATGTCTTTTGAATTCATATTAGCATCGTTTCAAATCAATCTGCTGAACTTTTACGACTGCCACACCAAGGTTTAGGTGAGGCCTGAAATGTCCTTTTGTGTTCCGCGCATTATTCGGGATGCGACTTAGAAGTGTGCCGTTCCACAAATTACTTATTCTAGTCATAATTGATCCGTATTTATTATGTCGTAAGAATAGCCAACTTTCTAGTCATTAACATTCTTTAACACAAAAATACTTTCATACCAGTTCTTTCATTATATACGTAAGTCTGTAGGTATTTCCTTCTTGCCTAACAAGTTCAAAAGCAAACGCATGACTGTGTTGGTCAAAAAAGTAATTTTTCGCTTATGTTTGTATTTCAATGTCATCACAATTTTTTGCGTACGTCAATGAAAATTACCATAAAACCACTGTAAGTGATATTTCTTGCGCGGTCCTATTTGTTTTGGGCGTGTACATGATTATCCGCGGTCATAGGTACTGAAGTGTCTGGATAAGTTTTGCTAAATGGGCAGTTTGTATAGAACCTCTGAAACAGTGCAATATTGTGGAAACTGTGAGAGAATAAACTGCATCTGCCTGATTTTGGTTGACAAGCTCCTCTGTTTTTATGTTTCCAATTGCTCTACACATACTGCGAGTACACTGTCTGTGATGAACGGCACAGAAACACATTGTGGCCCGTAATGTCCATGTCGTTCACCAGAACAAGCACCTGCACCTCGCCATTCGCATTAACGCCGCAGCATCAACACCCTCTGAACCATTTCATTCGTTTCCAAAGATGCAAGGAAGTCGGTGTCAATGTTTAAGAACCACCAGACACAAGAAAAAGCTGAATAGTTCCGCAGCTTCGGCAGGTTGCCTGGAACCTAGATCTCCTGCATGTTCTAAAATGCACCCGGACCACAAATACTGCGCTGTTCGAGCGAATACAATCGCAAATCATGGGGAAATTCCAAGTTTTCTGAGACCTATAGTCTTTGAAACTTTGATGTAGACCACACAGGAATGGTTCACAACTTTTCTTCACTCTCTGTTGAGGGTGTGCCGGCTTGGGACAAACGTGCTGACGCGACGCGACAGTGCTGTGGACGTGGCAGCCCACTGTCGCACGCACCGTCTAAACAAACTACCGTGTACTAACGCTGTAGAAAGAAATGAACCCTATATTCATTCCGCCCAAGAGTCTTGACCACATTTATGCTCGCCTGGTGTTTTCATGAAAACAAGCGTAGGATTGCACCTCAGAAGCTAAATTTACTTTTGGTTTACGATTTTTACAGCGAAAGCCGTTGTGACATCACAACTCACGTCTCGCGCAGCGCTGCAGTTGTCCGCCGTCGCCACTGGTGTTCATAACCACTGTCGCACGAATTAAGGAAGGAAAAAAAAAACCTAGTGCCTACATCGCAGTGGGGCTCGAACCCGGTTCCACTGGATGCTAGCCCAATATTCTACCACTGAGTCACGGTGGTCTTTTTTTGTTTTTTTTTTCTTTAATGAATGACATTTTCACCAGTAAAGTACACAGAACATACTTCATCAGAAGTCAGGCAAACACACACAAGCGTCAAGAACGGGAAGCCACTGCGGAACGGGGTCAAAAGTCTCGACAACACTGCGCACTTGAGCAGCTGCTTCTCGGAAGACAGATCTCGTCGACCGTGGTGGCTTGGCGTGTCTATCGATCATGCGACTTTCCTTGGGAGTTGGTGACAAACTTGCCTTGGCAGGCTTGATGTCGGCAAAACAATCGTGTTAATACGACTTATAAAGCGTTTTAAAAGAGTGAAAGAACAACCAGTCGTCGCACTATGCGGATAGCAGCGAGTTGGTCGTCCACTGCTCCAACCCATTAAAAAAGCTTGTTCTTGTTCTACTATTAACTGTGGTACATATACCCACTTCAGCCATAATTCCTCATCGTCGTCAGCCACTGCATGAACAATTGGCATGAACTTCCTTGCAAGTGTTTAGCGGATAGCAGGCTTCTCAAAAGAATGACTAAAAACAGCATAGCGAATGCCGGCCTACTACCCAAAAAAATTTATTTTTAATGTTGTAAAATGGGTATCAAGCAAGTGTGCTTGCAGCAGTTACTCAATGAGTGTTTAGAAGAGGCTCTGAAAGGCCGCTCTTCTAGCTTTCGCTGTGACTGTGCTGCGCCTTCCACGCAGGCCTGGTGTTTTTTTTTTTTGTTTTTTTTACAAACTAACGTAGCCAACGCACATTAGGCGGACTAATATACCGGGCATGTGCCGTGTCACTACGGGCCAGCTACACCACTCCGTTCTTTAGAGTTTTTTTTTTAGCACAACCAATCTCGAGCACTACGATTCATAAACCTCCCATGCTTCACCACGGAATAGTTCGAGTGGTGCAGGCAAATCACACGTCTTCTTTTTTCGGCACAGAGCCACTATGGACATCAACTGATAGTGGTGAGTCTGCCTGACGGAGTACTGACACCAATTTTTGGAGGTTTGTTTGCACTGCCATAAATATAGGCGGCTCTGAGCGACTGCGGGGCACAGTAACATACTTTCTTTTCATACTAAATTTATTGTCTCAGTTGTGCACCTGCCGACATCAACTCTTGCTTGACGTCTAGCTACTGTGCGGATCCCGTTGACTTCACGCAGCATCTGACTCAGTTGTAATGACGTCCGGCACCAAGAGTTCCAAAGTGGCCACTTGGGGATCGCCAGCGGTACCACGTTACCGACCGACCGTGGAAACGTGAACACATCTCGCGCGAGCACGTGACAATAAGCGTCATGACATGACGTCACGACGCTTCTTGTCGTTACGTCAGGGTACAGTAGTAATCGAAACTAGCTCTTAAAAACACTTTTTTTTTTTAGGGTTCACTCACGCTCAGTAGCAGTGCATTTTTTAGGCTCTTGAAGGCTTGACTTTTTATTTGACGAAGAAAAAAAACGGCAACTGAAAACTTTCTTGTGAGTGCGCCTTTAAAGGGGCTCGGAAACGCTTTTTCAAGTAACCACGGAGAGAATTCACTGGAAAAGCTTGTTGCCTCACGAATTCAACGCCGCAAAACTTTTAAGGATCCGTCCAGTGCGAGTGGATTACAAAATTTAGTCGCATGCTGCAATTGCATTCTTTCTTCTCTCGTCCCGACGAAAGCACAGGAAGCTAAGCAGGGAAACATGGCAGGGCCACAGAAAAACGTCAGATGCACACCGTGGCCTTGAGCACTTTTTTCTTTTTTCCCCCCTTCGAATGCGCCGCTTTTTAGGTGGGATCGCGCGCACGCCTGGACAAGTCGCGGCCTCCACGGCAATCTCTGTAACGAGCAAGCGCGCCATGTTCAAATCAGCCAATGGCTGACAGACGGTTAATTCACGTGCGATTTCTGGGCATATTCCGCCAATTTTCGAGAAAAGAGAAAGCAATTTTTAGCCGACTTTGATAATTTATTGTGAATTCCAGGCCACGTGCTGCGCTATGATATTTGGCTCGCGTGTTGTCGGGAGCCTCTGCTACCAATCGGCAGCGTTTTCTGACCATGCTCAAAAAGTGTTGCAGGGCCCCTTTAAGTAGAGAAGGAGGTAGTTTGAGCGATAGCGAAGTATTATTAATAAATCGCTTGTGTTTTCAGAACTATGCTTCAGAGTGATGCACCCTTTTTATGACCTACAGTATGTAAATGGGGTTCTGTATTGAAGGGGGAGGATGAAAGGGCACAGATACACGGCGCTAATGAAAGCAGTTATCCCTCTTTGCTCGTGGAGAGTTGTTCGCAGGATTTCAAGCTGTACGGTTGTGCAGCCCACGACCTCGAACGCCAGCGTAGCTTTCGCCGACTGATTCGCCCTTCGCGACCTCCTGACGCTGTGAAGCTCTCGCTGTGTGGTGCCCCGTCCTTGGATTTCTTCGACCAACTCCCAACTTAGCTATCTTTTTCTTTTTCTGTCACTTCCCTGTCATATTTCTCTATCTACATCCTTCCACTATTGTGTTTATCCCTCGTCCACCCCCCCGCCCTTCCCCCCCTGTCCTCTACAAGGCACTGCGCCGTGTCGCCCAAGAAGCAGAATGAAATTAGGTGATTTCTCCTCTTCTCAAGAACCACTCATTCATTCATTTTTCTCTGCTGGCATGTTTACAAAAAAAAAAGACAGATCACACGTACAGTTTGAATCGACGATATGCGAAGCACGAATGAGGAAGGGTGGTAGGTCGCTTTAAAATCAGCACAACGTTAAGAGGCAGAGGTGAATTATGCTCTACATGACTTCCATGTTATATTTATCATGTTTGAACGTTTCATTTACCTTCGTCATCTATTAACGTCACCTCATATAACTTTGGTATATATGGAGCTAGCAAAACGGCCGCGAGCGTCTGAGCGTAACATGTAGTCATGTTTTACATGAAATGCTTATCATGATTATCATATTTGAGGCGTCATTCACATTCATCGTCCATTCACGTCACGTAATACCAAATTTAGTATATGTGGAACTAGTGAAACAGCCGCAAGAACGGTATGAGCGTAGCATGTATACAGTCACGTTTTACACAAAACGCATATTATGATTATCAGGTATGGACGTGTCATTTACCTTCGTCGTCTATTCACTTCCCGTGATACCAAATTTGGTACATGTAGAGTTAGCGCAACGGTGGCGAGCGCGTCATGAAAGGCCCAATATACTCCGACGCAACGTTGACGCATGCGCAGGCTGGGTGCAGTGACGCCACGGGAGCAAAACGCGAGCACTCTATACTGTGTCGCCAGGCGCGACCGGTGCGACGAGCATCCATCGGCGCGGCCCGGTGGCAACCGGCGCTAAATGCGACATGCTGCATTTCGCGCCGACGACGTTACTTAGACTGCACCGGAGGACGCTAGGTGGCGTCGAGCGGATCGGACGCGTTCGTCTCGGCTCCTAATATTTTGCCTGTTTTTGCGTTAAACTTCGTGGCTTCTTTAGAGGAAACGCAGAGTGTGTCTGGAAGTATGACGTGACAGTTCTCACTCCGAGGTATCTAAGCAGCGACACCGATTTCTTCCATTCTGAAGTGACCAAGGACTTGGCATGCCCGGCCGCCAGGCTAGGACTAGCGGCGGACCGGGGAGCAGTGCATAGACTTCCAGCAACTCTCCTGGCCGTGCCAATGCAACAGCCAATAACCCAACGGACGACGACCAGGTAACGGCAAAGGAAGCCACGGACACGGACGACCAAGATTTGAACACAGAACTGGACTCTGCAGAAGATTTCGTCGAACACTCCCCATCGTCTGAGGAGGCGATAAAAGTGGAGTCAGCCAGTGGTGATGCGAGCAAACACCACGAAGCATCTAAGGGAGCCGACGACGAGGCGAAAAACGGTCAGTGGCAGCTTGCTCTTTCGTTACGGAAACGTAAGACACTAAGGAAGCAAGCGCGTGCCCTAAAAGATCCCAGGCAAGTTGTTGATTTTCTGCAAACTTCATCACTAAGCCTTACAAAAAGAACAACTAATGACTTGGTGTCTCTGGCGGACAGCAGCTTCTAAGACAGCGAGAGGAACGCGGGTGGCAGTTACGGAACGCCTGAGCGTGCGCACGGGAGTCGACGCGA